CCCAGCTACTTGGGAGGCTGAGGCAGGAGACTCGCTTGAGCCCAGGAGTTGGAGGTTGCTGTGAGCGTGATGCCATGGCACTCTACCTAGGGGGATAGCTTGAGGCTCCTTCTCAAAAAAAAAAAAAAAGAAAAGAAAAGAATTTATCTATAAAAAGGTCACTTAGGTCTCATAATAGCTATTTCCATAAAAGTCTTTTGTTAAATCCTGAAAACATTTGTAGTACGTTTACTCCAGGCTGCCAGTGTCTTGTCTCCCCTGCCCTCTCCAGTGCAGCTCCATCCATCTGGGTGGCAATGCTTTTCTGAACTGGCTGCTGTGGTTTCATTGGTAGTTAGGGTTCTGAAATTAGTCAAGCTACCTCGAGTGTTACTTGTATTGGCCATAAATTATTGCACTGAAAAATATATGGTTGAATACTTGTCACTCATTCTCTTTGACTTTGTTTCTGCGTTGTCCTCATTGCCATTCATTTGTAGCCAGCACCACCCCCGTAGCCTGCCCATCTGAATTGCTGTCACTGGTATGATTGGTTGGAAAACTTTTGCAGACTGATGGCTGAGGAGAGGACCAGTGACCAAGTTCTTGGGGACATTTGTCAGTGTCTGGAGACATTTGTAGTTGTCATAACTCACAGATGCTGCGGGCATGTGATGGGTGGATGCCAAGATGTTGCTCAATAGCCTGCGTGCACAGGGCACCCCCACTATTGGCAGTGTGAAGTGAGACCCCCACATTGTGCTGGGGCCCTCCACCCTGTGTGCATTTGCCAGTATTGGGACTCCTGCTGTGTTGCTTACCCCATGGTATTTCTGGGGGCTTCCAAAGGGTGCTTCTTGTGTACCCCTGAGCTCTCCTTGGGTGCACTGTCTCTGCTGGGGTCCTAAGGGTTACTTCAACTTACATGAAAAGGATAGTAAACTTAGGAACCTGATTACATGGTTCACTCAATGAGAGGTTAATGGGTGAACCCCTTCTCACTCAGGTGCTGTTGGTCTCCTGAGTGATCCCTGGAGGCTTTGCAGGGAAGCACTGCACTCAGGGAACCAAGCTCTGGCTGGAGGGACAGGTCTGGGGGTGCTGGTGTTGTGTTGGAGGAGGAGAGGACGTTCTCATCTTTGAGTGGCCTCTATCCTCTAGTTTGTCACACACAGGGCCACCAAGTTCTCCTGATACACACCTGAGTTTTATTTTAAAACAAGTGTAATTATGAAATGGAATGAAAAGTTCATATTAATTTCCCCTCTTTCCTACTAGACTTATATGTGTAGTATTTTCATTTCAGTGTGTAGTTTCTGAGAACACAGACCTGTTTTTCCACAGTTGTGGTTGTCAGTGTGAATGAATTCCACACTGATGCTGTGCTGCCCACTGACCCACATGGTGTGAATTGTTGAATTATGTGGAAGCATGCTCTCCATTTATCTGGAACAGCTTCTCATTGTCTTTCTTGCCATTGACATTGAACAGGCCAGTTATCCTATGAATAGCCCTCACTTTGGGTCTGCTTAGGGGCTTCATGGTCTGATTCAAGCTTTGGGTTTTGGGCTCAGTACCACAGAGATGTGTCCTGGGGCTTCTCTGGTGAGTGTTTCCAGTGCTTCCAGTGCCATCTGTGCTGTTTGGAGGGTCCAGTCTGAACCCCTGCTTAAGGATCCACAAACTCCCTGCTCTAGCCAGCAAGACTGCTGCACTGAGGCTGCCTGCAGGGCTGTGCAGTTATGCTCTGTGCCTCACCCTGTCCCCTGCCCTGAGTCTCTGAAGTTGCTGAGAGGCATCTGTCCCCAGGGCTGCCCTGAAGATCGTGCTTACTCTGGGAGGTGTCTTTCAAAGAGCAGTGACTGAGTTCCTGCTGGTTTTGTTCTGGGACAAAAAGATTAGGAAGTCACTTCCTTCTTTTTTTTTAGATAGTCTCACTTTGTTGCTCTCAGTGGAGTACTAAGGTGTCATAGCACACAGAAAACTCAAACTCTTGGGCTCAAGCCATTCTCTTGCCTCAGCCTCCGAGTATCTACCTGGGACTACAGGTGCCCGCCACAATGCCCAGCTAGTTTTTGTTTTTAGAGATGGAGATCTCACGTTTGCACTGGCTGGTCTTGAACCCATGAACTCAGGCAATCCACCCACCTCACCCTCTCCAGTGTTGGGATTATAGGCGTGAGCCACAGCGCCCAGCTCACTTCCTATTTTTTTTTGAGACAGAACCTCAAGCTGTCACCCTGAGTAGAGTGGTGCATCACAGCTCACAGCAACCTCCAACTCCTTGGCCTTAAGCGATTCTCTTGCCTCAGCCTCCCAAGTAGCTGGGACTGTAGACACCCACCACAACGCCTGGCCATTTTTGGTTGCAGTTATCGTTGTTTGGTGATCCCTGTCTGGATTCGAACCCACCAGCTCTGGTGTATGTGGCTGGCACCTTAGCCACTTGAGCCACAGGCGCTGAGCCTCACTTCCTGTTCTTGAGGGTTGTGTGTTGTCCGGTTCTACAGCCTGAACCTAGGAGGGGCAGATCAAAGAGATGGAGTGGTAGGTGAAGCTTTTTGGGTGGATTTGGATTTGAGCTGAGAGGATGCAGTGGTGCAGGTTGACCTGTGGGTCTCTGCCTCCCTCTACCTTTCCCCCCCTCCTTTCCCCTCTTTCCCTTATTTCCCCGTTT